ACACGCTCTGAACCCCTCGTGGGTTTTCCAAGTTTACTCCCTTTTGCACGAGTTTACACAACCCTGAGTACTAGGTTTTACAACAACCATCACAAGGATTTTAAAATCATGCTCATGAACCATACCTAAGCGCAAACTTTCAAAGGTCAAAATCTCATCCACCATAGAACTGGAACAAGACCCTAAACATACATCCTCTCTTCGACACCAAACGTTGAATCAATCCTTAACAATAAACATGATACCCAACAGAGAAACGAATATCAACATGCCGTTACTAACCATCATCGAGAGTCACTGATGACATATCAATGGCTATGGCGATAAAGGAACTTTAAAAGTATAAGAAGTGTAGAGTGAAGAATGTTCTAAACTAGCAATATTTGAGATATAAAAAGAGGAACTAGTTAAGCATTAAGTAAGCAATCTAACCATTAAGTAAGCAACCTAATCAAAAGGTGTGACTAATCGGTGACTATTGATATTTAATGCAACTGTAACCAGTGCACGCATGACACTTTGATTACCACCAACGATCTTACTCCAAATGGAAAACATTGTCGCATATGTTTTACCTTTTAAACTGGGGTACTTAATGATATACTCGGGTCGAAAACATCGTAAATTGCAATCCATGTTACTTTAAACAACAATTAAAAGCTTTGCATTCCCATATAGAAATGCAATATCAAATATCTGGCAATATACAATAGCTAATACTCCTGAATAAGCATATCCTGGAAAAGGGGGAAAGGTACAAATACAAGTACTAAACAAACCATTTTAAGTACAAGTGAACAACTTCTTTTATCTGGATCTTACAAAAGAGCGGATATAAGGATGATACCAACTTTTCTCAAAGTGCCTTTAAAAAAAAGACATCTTCAAGAAAAGAGACATATTTACTCTTTTCCAAAAATCCTTATCTAACATAAGCATCGTAGATCAATACCGAGGAACCACCTAGGTATTTATTTAGATGTTTCTGATGGGTTATTAGGGTTACAACTACAATGCTCTAAGCGGAAAAACAATCAATCAATTCAATTGATTAGGGAAGATGCAACCTAATAAGGATCTATGTCTTTCACATATAGTAACATACTATGAACTCTATCATACAAAAACTCTCCTATGAACAAAATAATTCATAAGACAAGAAAACTAACCTTTAAGATTGTTATTGTAAACAATCTTGAATTCCTTCTTGAAAAACTCTTGGAAGAAAGCACCACAAGTGTCGTGCCTCTAATGGTTCACACCCAAACCCTAGCGACCAAGGAGCTTGAAGAGAGAGAGAGAGAGAGAGAGAGAGAGAGAGAGGAGAGAGGTGGATATTTCGGCCCTAAGCCTCTAAAGAAGTGTCATGGCCGAAATTATAAGGCTAGGGCTTTGAAATAGATATCTAGGCTCACATTTTCCTTTAAGCTCAAGAATACCTCATCAACTTCTGAAGTTTCAGATCTAAAACACATAAAAGCTCATCATGGATCTATCAATTTATGTGTAATTTTTTGAATGTAAGAGATGAAAAATAAGTTCTTTTACCTGGTCCTGGGATTTGAGTTCTTGCTAACTTTATCATTAATTCTTCCCATGATTACTTGAAAATGGACCCAATGGCGACGTTCACTTAAGAAACAACACAAAAAAACGAACCAATTCAATACTTTCACTCATATTCTTTACTAAACAAAACTCGAATTTGAAATTGAACTTGGTTTAATAATTTCATTCATACAATAATCGGTGTTCATAAAGGAAAGAAAATTGATTAAGAATAGAGAAAAAAACAATGTCTCCTACCAGGGTCCAACCATCGAGATTGAGGGAGTTCTTTGGGGGAAATCACATACAATCAATGCTTAGGGAATTCGTCGTCAATGATAGCTGGAAAACAACAATGGTGGTGAAAGATTGGAAGCCTGAGAGAGAGAGCACAACGAAAAAGAGTTAGGTTTCAAAAAGAATGGTCGAAGCATGCTTTTCTAATCCAAAATACCGAGAACTGTTTCAATGACTTGACCTTAAGAACAATGGCTTAACATTTGATAAATGTTAGATAGTATAATGATGGAATTTTATGTACCGACTTTCATAATATGAACAATCATCTTCTTACTACCTTATGCACACATACTTAGTATAAAAATTCCGACCCATGCGGGACATGGGCACTACACTGGTTAAAGATCAAAACCATAAACACGATTTTTTCCCCTACTGCGATGATAGTTTATTGTTGGTTGGTTGAGGTAGAAAATTTCATAAAAAAGTTTTTGTTTTTCATTGAAAAGTAGGAAACCCAAAATTAAATTATTTATCGTGTGGACTCTTCCATTCGACCACATACATACATACACAAACAGCCGTTCTATTCATTCTATCACCCATCGTCGTCATAAAAATACAATACACATTAGCAAAATTAAAATAGAAGTAGTTGTAGATAACCAATCTCATGGAAGGCGGTGATCGTTGGATCAAAAATATGGTTTTGGGATTATAATTTCTTCAACACTTGAAACTTTGTGTCCAATGTCGGAAGACATTAACAAGAACTTCAACATGGATGGCGGTGATGATAAATGTAGATGTATTCGGGATAGTTCAAGAAGGACGCAACCAAACGAAGCCTATCATCGTAATAATAAAAAGGAAGGAGATATGAGCCTTTGCGGCATCCTTATTTTTGGAATAATTGGAGCTACTGTCACTACTTTCGTCGTATGTTAATTTCTATTTCTGCTACGGCTTTATATGTTGTGAGCTTCTGAGGAGGTATTATATTATAGATTAATATATTTGATTTTGTTTATACAAAGTTTGGCAAACCTCATATATCTAACCCTAGTCCTTTCTCGAATTAGCAATAATGTAAAGGTTCTTTAGGAGCAGTTGCTTTCTCCTTACTTCGTCCAATCTCCTGCATGGGCCATTACGAGATCCTCGTAGAAGGGATAATCCTTCTTTAAACCCATTTTGAAGGCGTCGACTGCAATTGTCACGTCGATGTTGGGGATGCTCAAGGCTTCCCTGCCAAACCTGTTCACAAAAGTCCTAAGGGATTCCTGAGGATCTCGAACCACTTGATAGAGATCACTAGTGATCTTTTCGAATGTCCTGCTGCAAGAGAACTGGTTATTAAATAAATTAATCAAATGAGCCAATGATGTGATTGAATAAGGAGTAACATTAAAGGAGCCATTTTAGGGTGGATCCTATGAGGGTAGAACCAAAGCCCTTTCATAGGAAGGCTTCTTTCAAATGTGTGGGGATGGGAATAATTTCCATCCTCTCCCTATACTGTGCTACGTGCTCCTCAGGATCTGTGGTTCCGTCGTATGGCTTCATGCTAGGGGTCTGGAAGCATTTTGGAACTTCAGTATCAACTATCGTTGGGATGAATCTAGAGATCATGTGACTTGTGGGGGACGCTTATGGCACCGGCTAAACTACTCCGAGTACGCTTGATATCATATGTCTTAGCTGTTGTAGCTCCTTGGCCATAACCGGGCTCAAACCCGTGTCAAAATCCTATGAGTTAGTTGTAAAATTATTATTGATAGAGTTACCAGGATCTCTGTTATTAGGAGTAATAAAAGTTTCATTAGGATCCTGAATCTCGCGACGGATCGCTGAGGATCCTAGGTTGTCAAAGTTCAGGATTTTGGGTTGCAAGACGGAGGGCGCTGCCTCCTGAGGTTTGTGGATCTCTGTCCTCATTCTCTCCACTTCCTTGAGAGGCGTCCTGTTATCCTTGTGTTGTTGGGCACCCTGTCGCTCTAGTCTTTTCATTATAGCAAAGATTTTGTTGTTGGAAATCATCACAGGAGGATCCTGGAGTCCCGGAGCGACCGGAGAGGTGTTATTCTTCGGGGTTTCAGATACTTACTTCGGAACTCCAGCTAGTGGTTGTGGAAGGTTTTTAGAGGAAATGGGAGGTATCGAGAAGGAGGAGAGGGTCGATTGAGTAGACATGATTTTCTGAGGGATTTTTGAACACCACGGCCCCACGGTGGGCGCCAAATTGTTTTGGTTAAAAATCGACTAAGTGAGAATTAACCAAAGTGTATGAGAGGCTGTGGTGTTGTTAATGGATCAATTGATGAAATTAAAACAATATTGCACGAGTGGTTTACAAGGAAAGCCCTTGATCCCTTTTAGGATCTCCTACATAAAACCTTGAGAGGTGATAATAATCACATGCCTTGATGATTTTATTGATTGAAATATAAGATTATAGAGAAAATAGAATGAGTAAGAGTACAAGTGATAGTGTTCTGCCAGAAAATCGTGTGTAGTGTAATGATTACAAGTGTTTTATATAGTCAAACCCTAACAACTAGAATTCCGAGAATTTCGGGATCCTTCGAGATTACTTATAGCCGTTTGCTTGACTTAGTCCTCCGGGTCTTTTGCATAGTTGTGATGACTATCCATTGAGTATATGACTTTGACCAGTCATTTCTGCACATGTGAGAAAGACAAAAGAATATATGTCTGTTATAAAAAAATAAAAATAAAAAAATTAGTCAGGATCCTAGAGTATATATGGGATCCTCAGGTTTAAGGATCCTGAGCTTTTGAGGATCCTATAGCAGTTTCAGGATCCTAGCCCCTAACAGTATATATAGTAGATTTAAAAAAAAAAAAAAAGTTGTCAAAATAGCCGTTGCCGACCGTTTGGCAACGTTTCCTTCCCCAAAATCTCTCAAACGATCAAAAATTCAAACGTTCACCAACGGTAGAAAGTCACCGTCGGTATTTCGCCGGCGGTAAAAACATCACCACGGCACGGTGTTCACCGGCAGTGAAAGTGTGACACGCGGGATACCACCGGTGACCCCTTTACCATACAGTGTAGCCTTATGTTGACTCTTTGCATACATTGTCGATATTGTATTGCTGTCATGTAAATTAAAAATGATGGGAAAATAATTAATTAAACCCTAAACCCTAAATTTGCTTAAATGTTTATTAAAAATATCCGATTTTGGCAATAGATTGCAGAAACCGGCGGAAGGAGTAATTGGGCGAAGAACTGCTCGGGTTGCTTAAAAAGAGAGGGAGATGGAATTCAAGAGCTCTGACGTGAATCTATGGAAGGAATCCTTATCGGCGTACGAAAGCAGAATCGAGTCCATTGGTAAGCCGAATCTTGTTTCGCTAGACCAGTTCTATTGCAAAGAACTACCGCCTCTCATTCGCCAAAGGAACCCTAATCCCCATATCACCACTCCTGAGCTATCCAAGCTCATGCAATGGAAGCTCACTCGCGGGAAATGGAGGTGAATGGTCTCTTCTACTCTAATGTGCTCAGTAGTAGAGGGTCCGACTGTCTGATAACTGTTACTGAGGTCAATAAATTATATTTTTCACAAATCAACTGTCATTTTGGTCCATAAATTAGTCGATTATCCCTAGTTTTTGTGTATTGGTCTGGAAGCTGAAGCAATTGTATCCAAATTCGAGTACACTGAATGATGTTACTTTATATTATCGCAGACCACGTTTGTTGGATTTTGTATCATCACTGAATGAGGATACTGTGATTTCTGCTTCGCAAAAAGCTTTCAAATCCTTACCCGACGTTTCAAAAGCTATTTCTGAGCTTACAGTCTTGAAGGGTGTTGGACCTGCAACTGCATCTGCTGTTTTGGCTGCTTATGCGCCTGATATTGCACCTTTCATGTCCGATGAGGTACCCTACAAATCCATTCCAAGCATTAGTCTCCTTTTTCTTATCTTGAAAAACTATGAAGTAACATTGCAATGTCATCATCAAGGCAATGGTGGCAGCTCTTGGGAACTCAAAAGAATATACATTGAAAAAGTACCTTGTGTTTGTGGACAAACTTCAAGCAAAAGCAAAGGTTAGTTCCACGGTTATATAATTGGATTGTTAAAACTGGTTTTGCTTAAAAAATTCAAATTCATTTTTTATAGGAATTAAGCGTAGATGAGGAGGAGGTGTTCACACCCTCGGATGTAGAGAGAGCTTTATGGAGTTGTGCCATAGGTGCCAAGGCTGTAGCATCACCTAAAACTAAAAGTGATGTTAATAATTCAAGCAAAAAGAAGAGGAAGCGCTGACTACTCTAATCTAATTAGCGGCTAACAAGTAACTCAACTTAATCCTGTAATGTTCACACCTTAAGCCTGGCTTTTGTTTTAAGGTAGGTACTACTGGACTGGTGTTTCTCATTCCCTTGTAATGCTGTTATGTATTTATGTATGTCTTTTCTTTAATTCAAGTGATAGTTGTGTTTTCCTTGGATTATCTGGTTATTCTTAGATGATCCAACAAAAAAAAATAAAAAAATAGAACATTTCACTTTAAGAAAATCAATAAACAATTTCGCTGTTTAATTATTTATCAAATATCTAAATTGGAAATCCCAGGGCCAATTGGGCAAAGGGAAATGTAAATGAAATATAAATGCTTATTTTAGCTTATGACCTAGCTTAAGCTAGCTTTTGATGAACTATTTTGAGATAGCTTAAAATAAGCTTATGAAGTTTTTTCAAAAATATTTTACATGTCTTTATTTATATTTATTCTTTTTTTCTTTTAGTTATATATCTAAATGTCTATTCATGTCAATTTACATTGTAATTTAGCTTATTATTTTTTACCAAATACTATTACTAGTTTATCAACTATCAGCTAGCTTTTCAGATACTCTATCAAACATGGTCTATATGTGTGAATAATAAGGACATGTGTGGTATTACATGGATGGTTAACCAAACCGAATCAAATCATATATTGAACCTAAATCCAAACAAAAAACTAGTTAACAGTTTCCTTCATACGGAAGGAAATTTATGGAATGCCTTCCTGAGTGGGAAGATCAGTATCATGAACCAAACATATAGTGCGACCTCATCTTCTAGTATCATATTATGTAATATAACACCAACGTATACTATATTTTTTATTTTGCGTGTATGCATTTTCCGTTTAGGGAGTCCAATTATGACCCAATTAAATTTTAGGTTTCCAAAAGCCCTTTTTTTATCCTTCTTGTACCGCATTAAGCCGTTTTCTTTTACCACCGGTTAGATGTGAAAACGATTTCACAAAAGTTGTCAAACTTGGGTATATCGCATCTACATGATAGTAACCATGCTTATATTCGACTCTGTTCACCCTGAAATGAACGCTTGGGGGTTTTTCCTAATACCTTTCGTCGAATAGTACGATTGGTATATGACATTTAGGTAATTTTTCAAAGCAGCGACCTGAAAATATGCATGACATGTCCATAAATCTTGTGAAGCTACCGCTTCAAATATAATTGTTGGATACTTGTGATTACCTCTCACATATTGACATCTCGATGCTATTAGACAATTCATCCATGACCCATTAAAATCAATGTTATATAGTATTCTAGGAAATCCATATTTGGATTCATGTGCTATGAACAAACATTGAATGTCATTGGATGCTGGTTTGCAAAATATTCGTCTCCAATACCATAACAAAAGTATTGGAGGCTTTTACCTGAAGTCATTTATGGCATATTCAAATATTCATCATATGCAAGTTGACGTTGGGGTGTTGATCGGGTAATATTTTCAGGTTTCGGGTTTTTCATGTTAAAAAAATTACCCGTTACTCGACCCAAATTAAGTTCGGGTAATTTGGGTTTGGGTAATTCAGGTAGTGGGTCGGGTTTGGGTAATTCGGGTATTACCCGAAATATATATATTTTTTTAATGGCACCTGAAAATAAATTTAATGAAATAAATATGTCGTGTTCTATTAGTCTTGTTTATATAAACAAACGAGACATAAACGAAGTTACTCAAACTTTGAACATTGAGATTTTTTAGTCAATAATACTTGTAATATCAAGTAATCTTTTAACAGCTTAATCTAATCTAATAAGATATTAAAAAAACAAATAGTTAAAGATCTTAGTATAAAAGTTTAAAATGTTAAATATAATTGTAGCCATAAGTTTTGTCATGTTCTGAAGTTTCGTCAAGATAATGAGTTTGTTAGTTGCATTGAAAACTATAATCTAGAAAACAATTAAGTTTTAAAGAACATGGTGACATATAAACAAATGTTTTTAATATTGTTGGTGCCAAACTTTCATAATAAAAGAGATTCATGTTTTACAACAATGATAGTTAGTTTAAGCGTGATCAAATACCTGTTACAGAGTACAAACTCTACGAAATAAAAAAAAAAGAATTTTTAAAATAATTCGGGTATACCCGAAACCCAACAAACGTACCCTATATCCGACCTGAAAAAAAATCGGGTTACCCGAATACCCGGAAAAATTAACCCGATACCCGATTTACCTAATACCTGAAAAAACCGGGCGGGTAATTCGGGTAACGGGTATTTTCGACAGGGCTAAGTTGACGTATCGATGATGTGCATTTCTTCAATGGTGTGAAACTTAAGATAACTTGATATATATTATATATATATATATATATATATATATATATATATATATATATATATATATATATATTAGGGTTAAAATCGGTTGAGAACTCATATTTTCCCGAGAACCCGAGAACTAAAAATGGAGCGTTGGATCAAAAGCAATTAATTAAGGACATGATCGTCATCTTACCAATCTCATTTAATGTTTAATTTTTTTTTGTGTTATTTAATATATTAATATAAATGTCTAAAAATTTACATCATAAATCAAATTTTCAGATTTTTTTAAATATAATATTTTTTGTTTTTTTTTTTAAATGCAGATTTTTAATTTTTTATAGAAAACATGAATTTTTGAAAAAAAAATTGAAAAAAATAATTTTTTAAAAAAAACTGCATTTTTTTTTCAAAATAACTGCAATTTTTCTAATGAAAACTGCATTTTTTTAAAAAAACTGCAATTTTTTTAAAAAAAAAATGCATTCTTAAATAAAAAAAAACTACAATTTTTTCAAAAAAATTGCAAATTTTTTAAATAAAGTTACATTTTTTCAAAAAAAATTGCATTTTTTTTTTCAAAAGTAAATTTTTAGGTGCATATATGCATATTTTTTCAAATGCATATATATATATATATATATATATATATATATATATATAATTCTTATAATATAATATTCATGAGGAATCACAAAAAATTTCATTTTTATTAATTAATCTATAAACATAATAGTACAAGTATGTTATTCGATACAAAATAAAATATAAAAAATAAAAAATGCTATAAATTTCAAAGCGTTTTCATGTGTTCGTGTCAATATTTCCTTATTTTCTTCAATTTATCTCTTTCTGAATATTCACCACAATTTCTTCCAAATCTACAAGAAAATTAAAAAAAATGATTGATGCAAAAACACTCACAAAAATACTTATGTGATTTACATATGAATCACAAGTGATTCACATATGAATTACATGTGATTTATATGTGAATTACATGTGATTTACGTGTGAATCACATGTAACTTATATGTGAATCACATGTAATTCATATGTGATTTACATATGAATCAAATATAATTCATAAGTGAATTAGATGTGATTTACATGTGAATCACATGTAATTCATATGTGATTTACATATGAATCACGTGTAATTCATAAGTGAATTACATGTGATTTACATGTGAATCACATTTAATTCATATGTGAATTACATATGAATCATATGTAATTCATATGTGAATTACATGTGATTTACATGTGAATTACATGTGTTTTACATGTAAATCACTTGTAATTCATATGTGATTTACATATGAATCACATGTAATTACAACGTTGAACTTTTTATAAATTTAGCTAAGTAAAAAAGAAACAACCATAGTTGTCCAAATTTAAGTGTTGAACTCATTAAGCCCATTAAGTGAAAAAGAAAACTGCCCATGAGTTGTATTAAGAAAGAAAATATAGATCAAAATCATTGGAAATTTTTCTTAACAAAAATCATTAAACAGTAAATTTTGTATTGCTTTATAATAAGATGCTTTGATTTCAAAGAATTTGTGCAAACATTGTTTCATTTCAAAATATAGATTCTAATATGATTTTTACCCTTTCAGTTAACAAACATCATACCACAAATTATCGACAAAACATAAAGACCAAGTTTGTTTATTTTTTGAAGTTGAAGTGTATGTACCTATTTTGCTAAACCATATGGACCATTTATGTAATTTGTCATAAGAAAATAAAAACCTGGTGTGCAGTTTTGGCCCTCTCACTCCACCTGCGCATGTTATCACTTGGCGTACTTTATGTGATTCTACCACATACAGATGTAACATGAACAAAATTACATATTACAGAGATAATCATATCATGATCATGTAATGTAACTAATCTTAGGCATACCAGTGCATAAGGAGGAGGCTTCAGATTAATGTTGGCTGATATCTTTTGATGAATGTTACAACACCAAGAACCAACACAATATTTGCCATGGAATTCCTCATCTCTGCAGATGCAAAGAGAACTCATTACTGAGACATATGTAAAATATACAGTTTTTCTTTCTTCATTAAGTCAGAAAAGAAATACTTATGTATAACTAATTCAATTGAATCATGTCCTAATTAAGTCAATTAAATAAAGAAACTTCTTACAGAGATAACGAGTGATGAAATCACATCTGAAGATGAGAAAAAAAAATTGCATCTTTATTTGGAAGCAACTTTAGAAAATCAGTTTGGGACATGTCGAACTCATCACAATCAATGATGAAAATTTTCACTTAGTGAACACCATGCATGGTTACTTTCACAGAAAAAGATATTTTATCCAAAATCAATTAAAGTTTATATTTCCAAAGGATATCTGAATGCACTATAACTTATTTCCAAATTATAGAATGATGTGAAAGAACAATATTAATGCATAGACAACAGAGTGAAATGAATGTATGCATGCAGAGCAACTGCATAGTGTATTATATATATCTATAGGTAGTGGTACTAAACGCTTTACAAGTTGTACCTATGATTTCAAAGAAACTTCCTGAGTCTGTACCTTTTCCAACTGAATGATTCACCTGATCAAAATTACAACCAAATTTATTATCGCATGAATAAAAGATGTTCTTTGTTTCATATTCATAAATCGATGTGGATTAGACCTAATTTATGTACCAACGTGTTTTGATCATAACTTGACTTGAGATGAATTATATATCCAATAAAATGAAAAAAAGGTTTCATAAGATTACTAGTATACGACCATAATTTGTACTAGAAGAGAGATTATTTCTCCAAGAAGATGCAAGAATGTTTCAAAAAACCAGTTCAACAATTTGAATCAGTATATAACCAAAATGAAATCAGATGAGGCTTAAGTCTGTAAAACATGTAGTGAAGAATACTCAAACCACAGTTCTTACTAGAAACGAGATTAATTCTCTCAAAAATAGCCAAAATAGTTCTTATCCTTATAAGTTCGACGTGAATCAGTAGATTGAAATTGCAAGTTGATCATAATCTCTTAATTTCAACACGAACAAGTTTTTCAGTTGTAAATAACAAAAAGGAAATGCTCATTTATTAACGATTGAATCAATCTCTATACCTAATTTTAGTGAATCGGCTTCACTTTGGCCCTAGGTTACGATTATCAATTGATATGTTCTACTTTCTTATAAAACAGATCAATCGAAACAATGAATCGAACATGCAGACTAAAATCGGTGATAAAGAATAATTAAAAATTAGAAAAGACGAACCTTTGGTTGAGCAGTAACAGGAACAGCGTTTTCGACCATGATCAAGATGATTGATTCGAAGAGAGATGAAATTGTCGACTCTTCGGGAAAAAAGAGCGAAAACTTTATAATCGGCTATGGATGATGGAGGAAATCGCGATGGTTGTGCAGGTGTACGATTTTCTGTATGAACAAAACTAATATCAATGTGGTGGAGACGATGGTGATTTAATGGGAGATCGGCGGACTCGATGATTGAAACCGATGGTGATTGAGGTCGATCCAGGGAAGAGGGGTGATTCGGTGAAGAAGATGACGTGTGTGAAAGAGAGAGAGATATTTAATTGGGGGAATTAAAAGAATTATTTTATTCCTAAAATGCCCCCTGATTCATTTTAAAATCATACCCCCGTGTCTTATTTTGTCTATGTATTTACAAAAATGTCACAATGCATCTTGGCCATCCTTTTTTTTTATCCAACGCTCCAGTTTTAGTTCTTGGGTTCTCGGGAAACTTTGAGTTCTCAAATGATCATTCCTCTCTCTCTCTCTCTCTCTATATATATATATATATATAATATATATATATATATATATATATATATATATATATATAGGTAGGTTCAAATGTTTCTCACATCTATTGTGCTAGAATGCACCAATAAGAATTTAGTATTAATTATATGTATATTAAATGCTATCCATACTTATAATTCATTTTTATGGAAACTAATTAAATTTGTCATTAATGTCAACAATAATATTCTTTCAGAATGAATTCATATTTAGAAGAATGAGAGTATATTCCAGCAGAATGAAAGTGTATTCTAGTAGAATACACTCTCGTTCTTCATATTCCATTCAACTTTATTGTATTTTAAGTGAATTAGACCTGAAACAAAATACGAACTCATATATAAAAACCTAGATGCGAATTCATTCTGAAAGAATGTTATTGCTGACATTAATGACGGATTTAATTAGTTTCCATAAAAAGATAATTATAATTATGGATATCATTTAATATACATATAATTATGGAAATCATTTAATATGTATATTTATTTAATTAAATAATTATTTAATTTACTAAATTTCTATTGGTGCAATCTAGCACACAATAAATATAAGAAACAAAATAACCTACCCATATATATATATATATATATTATATATATATATATATATATATATATATATAACACATAAGAGACACTTTCTAAATCGAACGTGGTTTGGATCATCAACTCTTTAAGGAAGGAACACGTTTATAAGAGAGGTGGGTATGGGCAACGCCCCAAGTGGCGTTATTGGGTGTTATAACACGTGAACACCGCCCCCTTTCCCGTTATCAGACGTTATTAGCCTGCGCGTTGCTCCCCGTTACCACCATAACATGTTATAACGCCTCTTTTTTGTCTTTTTCCTAATAACGCTGATGTGGGCACTGCCCACACCTACCAGTCTAACTATATGCCAAAGGCCTTTTGGTAGGTGGTATATATAAGTTAATTTAGGTTGAAAAAAAATTAAAAAAAAAAGAACAAATTACACGAATGGTCCTTAATGTTTTGTTTTTTTCCCTAAAGTAGTCCTTATGAAACTTTTTTCCCTCAGATGGTACCTACAGAGCAAACCTTACACACAAATGATCCTTATGATTAACTTTCTTAACAGATTCTGTTAAGTGTGTGTGAAAAGACGAAAATGCCCTTTGTTTTTATTTATTTATTTATTTTTAATATTTTGTTAATTAGAAATTAAAAAAAGTGGCTATCTCTCTCTCTCTAACGTATAGATCTCATCCACTTACCCCTTTTATCCCGTCTCCTTTTGAGATTTGTTCTTGCTTGATTGTTAAAATCTAAACCTGAAAATCAAAATTGAAAAGCAACTGATTTGGGTTTGTTCTTTCTTGATTTCTTTGTGGAAATCAAAGCCTAGACTGCAGAACCTGCTCCACCGGCGATCTTTGAAGTCGTAGGTGAAGATAGTGACACTGAATGTTGAACCACAGATCCATCTTCTCCGGCGGCGGTCCTTGAACCACAAAATCGTTGTCTCCGCTGAATGTGGCTTGATGTCGATTTTGTTGTTGAATGGTCGATGCTACAGATGGTGGCTTGAAGAGAACAGATGAGATCGATGGTGGTGGCGCATCCATTAGAGCAAAAGTGATTTGAGGGCTAGGCTTCAACTTCCCTGACGTGTTTTTCCCATATCAGCTTCTGCTTCTTTCGATCTTCATCATCTTCTCTTCGATCTTCTTTTCATTTCAGTAATTCCTCAAACTCCATTTTCTGTACTTGAACTCTTGTTTTTGTTAGGTTTCTACCGGTTAAAGATCAAAATCTCATGATTTTTTTTATTAATTGGAGCTTTTTCTAGTCGTGATTATATCAGATTAGAGAAAATTTCTCTATTTTTACTTGTTACTTGTTGCTCAAGACTAGATATTCTGATTGCTTGATCTGATTTCGTTTCTGTAAATGGAAGAGAGTGGGGGTGAGGATTTTCTTTTCATCTGCTCAATTTTGATTTCCTTTTCTCAATTGCAGGTATGGTTAGAGTAGCTTGATTTCGTGGATTCAGAAAAGGAGAAGAGAAAGGGAACTGGTCGGGTGGGGTGGATCGCAAACAATGATTTTGGTTGTAGGGAGTATAGTTTTTAATGTCTGTATATGTGTTCTTCAAGAGAGAGAGAGAGAGAGAGAGAGAGAGAGAGAGAGAGGACCATCTGTGTGCATAAAACAAAGGGTATTTTTGTCATTTAAAAAAACTTAACAGAATCTGTTAGCAAAGTTAGTCACATGGGCCTTTTGTGTGCAAGGTTTGCTCCGTAGGTATCATCTGAGGGAAAAAAGTTTCATAGAGACTAATTTAGGGAAAAAAACAAAATCTTAAGGACCATTCGTGTATTTGTTAAAAAAAAAAAACTAACTAGATGTTGTGCAATGGTCAATAAGAAAAAAAAGACAAGGAACATGGATCTCTTTCACCTGATTCGGCTTCAAATTTGTCACCACGGCAAAACTGTATTCCAGACGCCAAACCCTTCTTTGTCCACTGTTGTTGTTGTTGTTATTATTATTATTATTATTATTATTAGTTAATTAATTGGTAATCTAAAATATTAAAAGTTTTGATTAACAATTCTAATTATGTTAATTTACACGTAAAGATAGTAGATTTTTTGTTATCATATGATTCACTATCATCTTAAAATAGATTTAATATGTATTTATTAAAATCGATTAATTATTGATATTTGAATAAAGCTATTATTATTCCAAATTAAATAACAATAGATATTTATTAGGCACATCTCAATATAACTTTTAATTTCTTAACTTATATTAAAACCAAATGTGTACATTTTAAGTTGAAGATATTTAGGATTAATAACTTATTTATTTATGTAATAAATTTGTATATAAACTGAAATTGGCTTCCTACAAGAATTGTGAATTTTTGTTTTAATTTTTTTATGCGTATTTCTTTTTTATATTTCATGAATGTAACGTAAATAACTGGTTTTGTATTTTAGTATGTTTAAAACTATAGTTAAAACGGACCATAAGTTTATTTATGGCATGTAAAGGTCCCTTCCACAAACGTTGCTAAAAGCCTAAACTATTATCCGATTTATATCAATCCCAGCTTGTCAATTGTCATTGTTCCTTCCTTGTACACAAATTGAACAAAAATGCCGTTTGCCGGAGACCGGAAGCACCGCCGGGTCCTCCGGTCAACCCCTCTCCTCCCCCAAAATCTTCATAACAACGACGTCGAATACATTGCTGCCCCATCGGAGTCTGGATTCTCTGGCGCCTCTTTTTCTGGGGCCGTCTTCAACCTGTCAACGACCATTGCCGGTGCTGGAATCATGGCCCTCCCAGCCACTCTGAAGCAGTTAGGAATGATTCCTGGTCTTATTGTCATAATTTTGGTCGGCATCTTGACGGAATCTTCGGTGGATATGATACTTAGGTTCAGTAGAGCTTCCAATTCCAAATCATACGCCGCCCTAGTTGGAGATGCCTTTGGTGGTGCCGGAAGAACTTTGTTACAGCTCGGCATTGTCGTTAATAATGCCGAATTGCTCGTCGTCTACATGATCATCATTGGTATTAACTGTTTACGAACGATTTCGTTACCTTCATTTTAAAACTGTTATCTACATACAACTTTGTGAACTTATATCATGTCGTCGAACAATCTGCCAAATTTTCTGTTATTGTTAAATGGATCTACCAAATTAGGTACTCAAGTTGGCATAACCTACAACACATGAGTCAATTTCATTTCCACATCTTGTGAATCGACCTGTTCTTTAGTTATCATCTTTCTTTCTCCTCCTTTTTGTTTAAGGTCTTAGATTGACTGAAGATGACATAGGTTTTATACAATGCAAAATTCAATTTTAGATTGACAATTCCAAACAAATTTGAAAGAGAGGCAAACATGACACTTGTGATATATCTGCAATTTTCCATAAATATGAAAATTGAAGAGACATTATAACAGATTATTGAAGGGGTGCTTGTTAATTAACATTTGGAGTTTAAAGTTTAAATGGTGTGATGTTATTTATTAAAGGTGGTTAGTGGTGACTGGTGATGACAGGTGATGTACTATCTGGAACATGGTCCGAAGGGGAACACCATTTAGGAGTGATGCAAGAATGGTTTGGTCAACAATGGTGGACTACACGTTCTGTCTTGCTGCTTCTAACAACCCTCCTTGTTTTCTCTCCTCTGATATCCTTTAAACTCCTCTGATATCCTTTAAACGTGTAGGTGAGTTTCACATACTCTTTACTAAAGTCATTTTTATTAATTCAGAATATACATCCATAGGATTTCTGGAGTCTTTTTGGATGAATGGCACTTGGAGGTACCCCTTCTGCAATTCCCTTTCATTTGGAATTAGTCTTTTGGAATATGCCTTTCATAACTAATTTCAGGAAGCCAAGTCTTTGAAGCTTACAAAATGACACCTCTCCCAAACAAGAACACCCAAGTTGTAGAAGAATGTTCTTCTATATTGGTTATCCAACTTGCATTTGCACATCCTTTTACACTGAAATAAATCCAACATATGACAAACCGTAGTTCATGGTTAACTTTAACTACTCGGATACTCTTTCAATGATTAGTAAATGGATTATTTGAAAACCTACTCAATCTTCCAACCACATAAGCAATATCATGGCATACATCAAGCAACAACTAGTCCTTAAGTATTCAACCGCTTTACCCATATCGGGTATAATATAAGCTTCTCATTTGGTAAAAAAGTTTGTGCAAAAAGTATTTAAAGATTTTAAAAATATTGTAAAATTTTTTTTTTTTGGAAAAATAAAATAAAAATAAAGCTTGGTGTGGATTTGTAAAGACCAAATTTAAAACATGGGCCAAAAGTGCAAATATGTAAATGATCTGGTAATATATAATTTATAGTAGTAGGTCAAAACACATAAACCCAAAGTTGGTTACATTTTTACAAAATAAATTCAGTTTGTTGGCAACGTGAAGACAATTTAAATAGTTTGGTTTATAAAATCAGAGAGATAAGCTTATTATCTGATATGGCTTGTAGATTTTAGTTTTTGTTTAAATTTTGACATCCATGAGCATGAGATTTTACACATCCATCTAACCAGCGTCAGTTTCGCTTAGTATATGAGACATGACTCTTGCTTGTATTCATTAATTTGTTTAAGTTGTGGATGATTTGAGTGACTAGTATAGTAATAATTGTTGTATGTTTTTTGTTTGGAATATCAATAGATTCATTAAGATACACATCAGCGTTGTCGGTGGGTTTAGAAGTTGTATTTGTGGTGATCACGGGTGTAGTAACCGTCATTAAATTAATCAACGGAAGCATTAGAATGCCACGTTTGCAGCCACCTGACGGGGCATCATTCTTGAAGCTTTTCACAACCGTTCCTGTATTAGTCACTGCCTATATCTGCCACCACAATGGTAATTGGTAAAACCCAACCCAACCCTCATTTTTATTGGGTGTAATTTTGATTTGATGTTGTTGTTGTTTTTGACATGACAGTTCACCCGATTGAGAACGAGTTAAAAAATCCAACCTAGATGAAGTCCATAGTCAGGACATCGATCATGGTGTGTTCCTCGGTGTATGTGGCAACCAGCTTTTTTGGATTCCTACTGTTTGGTGATGACACACAAGACGACGTGCTTGCAAGTTTCAATGGGGATCTTGGAATTGGGCATTATAGCTGGTTCATCAATGATGTTGTGAGAATAAGCTAATGCCTCCATATCATGCTTGTTTTTCCCATTGTCTTTTTCTCCTTGCGCCTCAATGTGGATGACCTTCTTTTCCCTCCTACTCATGGAAAACCAAAACCAAGACTCCCTATTGCTTTTGACAATACAAGGTTCCTTTTCCTCACAACTTGTCTCATGGGTTTTGTCTTTGTTGGAGAAAATTTTGTGCCCAGCATTTGGGATGCCTTCCAGTTTACAGGTGCCACAGCTACTGTCTCTCTTGGTTTCATTTTTCCTGCTGCTGTTGCCCTAAAAGACACTCATGGAGTTGCAACCAAAAATGACACCAGACTCTCATGCCTCATGATAATATTAGCGCTTTCATCCAGCATCATGGCAATCTACAGTGACATTTATGGATTCTTCTTCTCATTACCAACAACAAACTAACTCAACTCTCAACTCTCATCCAACCTACATAAATTTACTTTACGTCACTCTTTGCTTTATCATCTTGCAGCAATGGAAGCTCAAATTCGTATACAAATCTGAGTTTCACCTTAAAAGGGTATATAATATATGGTGAAACTGTTTTTGTGGTCAAATGATGTTTTTTTTTCATCTCAGATATAAATAGTTTCAAGGTTTTTGTTTGTTGTATTCAACTGCAAATCCAAATTTCAAAATTCTATCTATAATTTGTGTGAGATCTAATTCTTTAAACTTGTAATAGAACATCAAGTCATCAGAGCATCCACATCGCTTATTGCAAAGGCCTTGCAAATGAATTTTAGTTGCCACCTAATCTTATATCTTTCAACATGCGAAAGTCTTGCAATTCAGACAGTGGGCTCCATCATTAACACTATTTTCTATTATATTACATTTTTTTTTGGTATATGAGAGTTATGATTATTTGATTATATTTGTATTATTAAAACGTATTATATATGTAAATTATTGTAATGTAATTATAAATATTATTAAAATGTAAAGATAATTACCTATCCATATATAACCTTTTTATCAACTAAATAGCAATTTAATACTATCCATATATAACCTTTTTATCAACTAAATAACAATTTAATACGTTACTATTAATGATTAAACTAATACGCAGAAATTTTAAATGATTAAAAATATTTATAAAGTAATTGTTGAGGTGTCAATGGGGACTACTTTTGAAAGCATGTTGCCATTGCACTGATGTAGGAGGTAATTGCAAATTTGATGTGGTACAATTGAAAGAACAATGACATTGCACTGATGTGGATGGTCTCACAATTCTAGCAATTGAGTGGTCGATTCCACTTCCAATAGTAGATTTGGAAATCCTAACTTAATGTAGATTTGCACTCAAGCTATTATAAGTTGTACATATTAGCTCCATAATTTGTAAATAAATCTATGATAATAGTGTTAGAGAGAGTAATTGTATGTCCATTATTTACTCTTCATATGATTCTATTAGAAATCATGGTGTTGTGAACTCAACTTGATGATTCTAATGGCGATCAAACGTTGAAATGGAATAGAATGGAATGATTTATAAATCAAGTTAATATGAAACAATGGATTTAAAGTATAAGTGTTTGGAAACATTGAAAAGAACTAAAAGATGATTTGAGATCGTAATTGTAATAAATAGTCTATATCTCCACCCCCTCCGCCACCACTACTACTGACATCCCCAACACCGCCATCTCTGCCCCACCGCTACTAACCCGTCCGCCACCACCACCACCCTTATGCCACCTCTATCACCGCCAACACTGTCACCATCTTTGTCACCCCCTCTGCCCCTTTCGGAGCCACCACCAACACCACATCCACCCCTTCCGTCACCACGGCCACTGCCATCTTGATACAGCCAATTATATGGATGACGAGTCCCCTGTAGAACTAGAGATGAGAGATAGATAAACAAGACAATATTGAGACAATTTTTTCTGCTTTCTTTTTCAAATGCAGGTTACAATTTATAGCAAACATGGAGTTACTGGCTAGCTAAAAATGAAGGGAAATAGCATGCTGAAATTAAACGTGATCCTACTTTACTGCAATTAACTTCTACTAGAAACTAAAAGAGACTACGCTTCAAGCACGTGACTGAGCACATGCTGCTCCATGGACGAGATTGTATCAATACTCCGCCCCTGAAGAATGGCCTTGTCCTCAAGGCCGAAATCGGGTTTGTGTCATGTACGGCCAAGGTGGTGGATCGGATCTCCGACTGTAGGAGAAGGAATTTCGGTGGGTTGCATTGATGCCCAGTTGAATTTGGCGGGACAATTGTAACAAAGGCCTTCAGCCCGACGCTTTGCATTTGTGGGGGTCAATTTCTGATCGGAAGTGATAGGGTAGGTGAGGGGGGGGGGGGCAGCCAACAAAGGTGGGTTCGTTGGTGGTGGGTCCCAGGGCTTCAGGCGACATGAATTGAGCATGAAGCTTGTCTTCACTAGTTTAGTTTAGCGAGACCATAGGCTTGATGGAGAGACGTGGTGGTGGTGTAGAGCAATTCATTTTGGATGTCGACCTTTAAAACCGGAACGAAACAACGGTTAAGAAGGGCCTCGTTTCCAAAACCTGTGACACAATTGCTAATTTCTCAAAGGCCGTTTGGTAGGCGGAGACGGTGGCGTTTGTTGTTGAGCTTGAACAAGGTGGCTTGGTGATTCTCGTACGTGGAAGGGCCAAAGCGAAGTTCCAAAGAGCGGGAAAATTCTGGCCAAGTTCCCAGCAGTTGATTGTTGGCCAGATGTTTATATCAACTTAAGGCGTCTCCGGTGAAATAGAAGACGGCAAGAGCAACTCGTTGAGTGACAGGAACAACATAATACTCAAAATAGTTGTTTGCTTGGAACAACCAATCAAGAGGGTTGGCACCGTCGAAGTTGGGAAGGAGGATTTTGGGTGGTCGGATGTTCTGGTTGTTAGGGCGCGGGGGCGGTGGTGGCGGTGGAGGCTGGGTGACGCGTTGCGTGGTCATGAGTTGGATCAATTGATCCAACTTAGCATTGGTGTCGATCGACAATTGAGCGATATGGATCATGTGTGCGTGAAGGGCAGCAATGGGATTGCCGGCATTGTCATGGCTTCCGTCTTTTGGAGGCATGGTGTTGTCGGAGGTGGAGTCGAACTCGGTTTTTGGAGGCATTAAGATGATGATGAAAGCACCAGTTGATACAGCCAATTATATGGATGACGAGTCCCCTGTAGAACTAGAGATGAGAGATAGATAAACAAGACAATATTGAGACAATTTTCTGCTTTCTTTTATCAAATGCATGTTACAATTTATAGCAAACATGGAGTTACTGGCTAGCTAAATGAAGGGAAAATGGCATGCTGAAATAAACGTGATCCCTTACTTTACTGCAATTAACTTCTACTAGAAACTGAAATGAGACTAAGTCTTCAAGCACGTGATTGATGCACATGCTGCTCCATGGACGAGATTGTATCACATCTCCACCACCGCATTTACCATTACCAACAACACATACGCGGATACTTATATACTAACCTATGTAGTAAACAAATAATTTATTTGGTTATGATTCTATAATAATGTAATTTATAAAGTAAATTGTAATAAAGATGTGAAACAAATTTACTAGATATTTATTGAAACTCCAAATGATTTGGCAAAAAAAGAATAAGAATATCATTGATTTCTAAATAATATTTATATGTTTTAAGGAAATATTTAAAGTAAAGAGAATCTAAAACATAGCTGCATACAAAATATGTACGAATTGAAAAACTAAATATTATCCATTAGTTAAATTTTGTGTTATGTGTAATTAAAAGAAGTATATTGTTGTTGTTCGCTAAGGGTAATTTTTTTTACACACCATTTTAATATTAAGCACACATCAATCTTACTTTTAGTTATTTCTCATGCAATCAAATTCAAATTTTCAAGAAGTCTTTTTATTGATCATATAAATCAGCCAATTAAACACAAAGCAAAAATATAAAAATTAAGGACCCTTTGTTATAAATTATATTGTTAAAACTTATTAACAAAAAATAAACTCTAAATTAAATAAATCGCCCAACTCTAAATTAAATACATCGCCTGATGAAAAAATTAATTAGTTTTTTTTTAAATCACAAAATCATAAATTAAACCCATATTTTTTTTTTGAGAATTTTCAATGATTGAAATAATACGCTGAGATACACATTATAAGTACTTTAAAGAAACTATGGTTTTATCAAGGTTCTAAAAAGCTCGTCATGGCTCCGCCATGGCGTGCCATGGCTCCGTGCCATGGCTCCAAGGCTTGTATGTGCCGTCAAGCTTTACCAAAACGCCGTCTTGACTCATATATGTGTATAAAAATAAATAATAGTTGAAAATAAAT